TGACATTATCAGATACCAAAGTTACATTTCTTGTTATACAGGTCTTGCTTTATCTTGGTCTTAACCATCCAGCAGAAAAGTATAAAAATGAGGTATATAAAGTAAAGCCATATTAATACGATGAGCTGTAAAAGGCACAAGTCAATAACTTCTGAGGATAACCCACTAATATTATAGACTACTAGACAGTGTTAGATTGTTTAACTGAATTCAAACACCTATAATATTTAGATGCCAATAGAATATCCACCTCTACAGGACAAAAAAAAAGGGGGGGATACAAAGGAAAGATCGCTTTGTATTTATATATACAAAATAGGATAAATATACAGCTACGGGGGCCAGGGAAATGGCTCAGTAGAATAAGCGCTTCCCTGGCAAGTGCAAAGGTCTGAGTTCAATCCCCAGTTCCACCAAAAATAAATAAATAAATAAATAAACAAATAAATAAATATACAGCTACTTTCACTTAATTCAATGAGAAGAAAGAGGTGTACTAATAGTGTTTGGACAGGAAAGCCTGTCTGCTTCTTGTACTATGGATAACCACTAAGAAGATAACAGTGTACAATGTATTGATTTTTGAAACTGTCCTATTAATCAGCTTTGAAGCTGTAAAAAAATAAAAATAAAAATAAAAATGGGCAATAAAAAAATTTAAAAATAAAAAATAATTGGGGGGGGGCAGGGAGATGGCTCAGTGGAATAAGCACTTCCCTGGCAAGCACAAGGGCCTGAGTTCAATCCCCAGTACCGCAAAAAAAATTAAAAAAATAAAAAAAAAATTGATAATACTGGGGATTGAACCCCCCCTTGATACAGTCTTACTAAATTGCCCAAACTGGGTGCAAACTTGTGGCCCTCCTTTCATACATGAGTTTTAAGTACCAACATGAAAGGTAATGGGGTTTATAAACTATCAAAATATATTCATATTCAAATATCCTAAATGAAATCCACTATTCTGTATGACTAATATACTTTTTTAAAAAAAGACTGGTATAGACTTCTGAGGAAAGCAAGTAGACGCTGGAAGCTCAGAGATGCATATATTTAAAGCAAGAAAAGACAAGACACTAAAAAATTAAAAAGAACAATACCCATATCCAAAAAAAAATTGGGGGGGGCGGGGCCAGCCAAATAACTCAGTGGATTAAAGCACCTGGTTAGGCAGCCGCAGGGGCAGAGAGTTCGATCCCTGGGCCTGCCTTGCGGGCCCCACCCCGCCTCCAGGGCACTCTGAGACAGTGTGAGGGGGGCATAGTGGCACACCTGTAACCCGAGCACTTGGGAGGCTGTAAACAGGAGGATCACTGTAAGTGCGATCTATGCAGTGAGACCCCGTAAACCCTGTCCTAAAATACAAATAAATAAATAAATAAATAAAGTTTTGTTTTGTTTTTGACTTTGAGATAGGACCTCAACATATAGCATAGATTGGGCTTGAATTGGCAATCCTTCTGCCTCAGCTGCTTAAGTGCTAGATCTCAGGTGTGTACCACCACACACAGCTTTCAAAAAAAAATTTTTTTTTGGATACTCCTGTGTACAGATTTGAATTGTTCATATGCTTCTCTGTGGATGAAACCTGTCTGCTCAGGCTGTCACAACAACAAAATATTATAGGCCAGGAGTGAGAAACTTATTTTCTCACAGTTCTGGAGTCTGGAGTTGGGGGTGCAAATTTGGTTAGTTTCTAGTGAGGCCTTTATTCCTGGCTTATAGACAGACCTGTTTGGTTATGTGTCTTCTCATGACTAAGACAGAAGCCAAGATATACTGTGTGTGTGTGTGTGTGTGTGTGTGAGGGGCATCTTGAGCATTTCTTAGCTATCTGATGTCTCTTCTTTTAAGGACACTAATCCTTTCCTACCCTCAGAATCTCATCAAAACCTAAGTATTTTCCAAAGGCTCTACCTCTAAATACCTTCTCTTTGGACATAAATTTGAGGGGGATGCAAACATCTCACAGCAGGATTTATCTTGCATTTTTCTGTTATGGTTCCTTCTCTCCGATTCCCTTACCCACAGACACACACTTTTAAGAAAGTTAGTGTGTGTGTATCCTCCTTCATCTCTTTATACTCAGTATATTTGTTCAGTGTGCATAATGTGGGTTTAAAATTTCACATAAATAAGCTGGGCATGGGAGTACAGGCCTAAATCTGGAGGCTAAAGTAGGAGGATCACAAATTCAAGGCCAGCCTGGATTACGCAGAAATCTTGCCTCAAACAACAAAAATTCACATAAAAGATTTATGATTGAGCTCATTTGACTTTTAAATTGTTTGCACACAAAATAGTTTTTGATAAAAAGTGTGATTATATGTAATTCTATTGTATTGTTTCTATTATATCAACTAAATGCATATTCCATATTTTTTGTATCTAGTCCCTTAATAATGAACTGATACATCTTTTAAAAAGAGGGTGTTCTGGGCTGGAGAGATGGCTCAGTGGTCTAAAGCACCTACTTGGAACAAGCTTGGCAAAGCACAGGGACCGCGGTTCAATCCCCCA